CGAGTCCCAGTTCCTCAAGAGGAACGGCAGGTACGAAGACGAGCATCCTTCCTACCAAGAAGTGAAAGCCCAGACTGGAAGCTTTCCAGTTAAAAACCTGACACAAAGGAGGCCGTTGTCTGCAAGAAGCTACAGTACAGAGAGTTACGGCACCTCCCAAACCAGGCCGGTTTCAGCGAGGCCAACAATGGCAGCTCTGCTGGAAAAGATTCCGTCAGACTATAACTTGGGTAACTATGGCGACAAGCCTTCCGATAACAGTGATATAAAGACAAGGCCTACCCCTGTGAAGGGAAATGAGAGCTGTGCTAAAATGCCCGCTGACTGGAGACAACAGCTACTTAGACATATAGAAGCTAGAAGGTTAGACAGGGTATGTTTGGCATTTCTCTGCAATTAATGCCTTTAGTTGTGTGTTTCGGTATGTCAAACTATTTGCACGTACAGTGGTAACCACCAGAATTCCCAGTAATGAAATTCCTTGCATTGGTGTCAGAGGAACCAGCCCACAGAGGGGTCTGGGGGTGCTCCAAAGCAGCCGGATCAGGGTTTCCTGGGTAAATGAGCAATAAATACGGAGTGTCTGCACCAGTGATGCGCCGCGGTGCGCGTTACGCACGCAGTAACTGCTGCAGCACTGCCTGAAGTAACAAAACCCATAAAGATCTCTCCTTATCAACAGATGAGAAGGTGCTGCTGAAATCCACCACTTCAGTAATGATTTGAGAGCTTTAAAAGATGCCGGGTACAGCTTTGCAGTAAAAGGAAATAAAACCATCAGAGCTAAAAAGTAAAATCATGTATTTCAGCTTCCAAATCACTGTTAGTGGAGGGGATTTCAAGGGATCCCCTGACTCTGAAAAATGCCACTGGATACACGCTGCCTCTGTTTTTAACAAGGAATATGATCATTACTCCTCCTAGCTGTAGGAAGTTCTGCTTATTTGCCTTCTATACAAACCAGTACAAGTATTAGTGCATGGTGTCTATCTTGGTCTTGACTATTTAACGACCTGCTTCATGAATTGGATTTACTTCGTTATCTGAAGTGGTTGTGAAAAAGTACTGTCGTGAAATGCATAAGTTAGCTTCAAAATGTGTCCTTAAACCTATTTTTTTGCTAGATACTCATGAGTTATGGTGTTAATATATTCATAACCTTCCAATTGCTCGGATGTGATGCATATTAAAATATCCTTAAGGATCAAATGGGTAAAGCTTAAAAACTGGCTCGAAGGCAGAAGCTTTTCCCTTCCTTCAGCTTTCTGCCTTGTGCTGTGTTAAACTGATTGGAAAATTCCTAGTACCTGGGCAAAGCAGTGCACCCCAAGTAGGGCTGTTTCTGGTGGAAATAAACACTTCCCAGATGTCTGTTTGAGAAATAACCTCACACTTAGTTAACAACGTGTGTTTGCTCATGGGAAGCTGATGCTGGTGGCTTTATCTAGTTACCTTAGTCCACAGTGATCCCTGCAGGTGCCGGCGAGCCGGTTCCTGGCTGTTGGCCTCCCAGGATGAGCAAAGCCCTAAGAAGCTGGGCTGTGTGGTGGGGATTGTGCTGATGGCGAGGCCTGGGCGCTGCCATGCAGCAGCTCCTCCAGGAGAAGACGCTGCCCATCTGCCCAGGGCGGTGAGATGCTGGTCCCTGTGGAACCTGGTCCCTGGTGGACCCCAGCTCACCATGAGCAGCCGCAGAGCTGGGGAGATGGCGCAGAGCCTTCTTGTGTAGGGTTTTCTCCTCTGCCTTTGATGCTTTTTATACTAGAGATGTTTTCTGGCCCCCCTGTGGCTGCAGACGTACCAAAATTTGGCCGTATTTGCAAAATAAAGACTTGTACCATGTTAAATACTGCAATTTTCAAACTACAGAGAACATATTTCATCTGCTGTCAGCGTTGAAGTCTTTTCTGGTATCCATTTTATGTATAACTAGCAATGTATTTGCTTCCGTGTGACCCAGTGCATGCCTCAAGAAGCTATTTATTTCTCGGTACTGTTTGTTTGCTTAAACTAAAACTTTGTGAAATTAACCATTTATGTGTGATACTTACTTGAAGGAGCATGTGTGTTCATACCTGTCACGTGGTTGTTTCCTCTACTCAGACCGCTGCTTACAAACACAACACAGTTAGCCTTGGCATGCTGCACTCTGGAGGGTTTTCAGCAATGCATGCCGGCAGAAGCATGACTTTAAACTTGCAGCCTAAATCTAAATTTGAAAACCAAATGCTTCAAGAGCTACCTCTACCGAAAGTAAGTATGGGATAGCCAGCATATACCAGCATTACGAATACATTGATAATACTCCTTGCTTTCTCCTGGTTTAGCTTTTGCCTACGATTCATGCTTGTACTCTACGCAATCCAAAAAGCAAAGATGATAGTTCAACGCTTTTCCTTACTCCGTAATCTTGCTTTTTGGATTAAGTAGCTCTCGTGGCTGTCATTACTGCTTTCTGCTCTTGTGTTACAGACTGATGCCATCATTTTCTCAATGACTTAATACTCGCACAGAAATGGAGAACGTGCTTTGTTTTGTCACTGTTTGATCGTAGAAAATTTAGTGCAGAAATGTTTAATTATACATTTTAATAAGCTCTGAGAGACAGGGAATTTAATATCTGAACGTTAATTGGGTATGCTGTGATAGTTACGGGTGTTGAGTACCTGCCTACCACACCTAACAGCTGACTTTAAACTTTTGCTGAGTGATGCCTATAGAAAGAAAATAATATTCTCATTATTTTACTGGGGTTTTTTACAGCTATTAAGGATATATTATTGATAAGTACTTACATACTTACGTCATACTTATCGATTATACTTACATACAAAACCATATACAAACAAATATGCTTAAAGCCAGATTGGACAGGGCTTGGAGCAACCTGCTCTAGTGGAAGGTGTCCCTGCCCGGGGCAGGGGTTGGAACTGGAAGAGCTTTAAGGTCCCTTCCAACCCAAACCAGGCTGGGGTTCTATTCTGACTCTTAAGAAGTATTTGATGGGAAGAGCACAGATGTCAAGGCAGAGAGGGACACAGCTGAAGGATTTTCAGCGTATCAGGAGGAGGTGCTGGGATGTTGCTCTGCAGCACACGAGGCCACGCTGGAGTCCCTGCTCGGTGCCAGCACTGGGAATAGCGGGAGCAGTGGCAGCACCGGGATTGGTGCGCTGGCAGCGGGCCGCCCCTGCAGCAGCCGCCGCAGCACTTGGGGCACATCAGAGCTTCTCTGTGAGCAGTTAAAGGGCAGCAGAGCACAGGGACCGGCGCTGTGAGTTGCAGGGCTGGCCCCGGACTGGCGTGGCCCCAGCGAGCTGGCACCTCCCAGGCTGTCCCTGGCCGGGAGGGGCTCTGGAGCCGGCCAGAAATCCCTAAAGGAGGGCTCCAGTGCCCAATTTAAGGGTCTAGATCCAGGTCTGCTTAGAAGAGTAAGATAGTTTAATAGCAGTAATGTAACCAGGTAGTGCTGCTTGGCCAGAGGACAGCCCTAGCACTGCCTAGCTTAGTGATACAGGAGTAAGCACCGAACTCTGGATTTCCAGGGCGAGCTGTGGAAGGTTATCACAAACACACACACACTCTGAGCTCATAGTCAGGTATCTCCTGCTGTAACCTACTTCCCATACACCGTTACCTCCATGAACACCTCCTGTTCAGCTGTCCCTGGATTTAAACAAGTCCTGATGTTGGTGTCTGCTTCTCTGTTGTTCAGCTGATGCCATGTAGGTCAAATCTTAACCGTGGTAGATGTGTGTGTATTGGACACAGGCAGCTTTGCAGTGTTTCTTGTACTGTTTCTTCTTTCAAGGAAGTTGTTTGTCTACTTGGGTATATGCTAATTCTTGTCACAAGTCCTTGCAAGAAGTGTGTTTGACATCAGCTCCAAAGAACGTTCTATTTCCTACACACATTTAGGAATAAGGTGTTCTATAGCACTTCAAGAATTTTAGGCTGTAGATGAATATGGATACTAATATATGGGTGTCTAAGGAAATTCTAATATATGGATGTCTAAGGAAATTCATGACAAGTTTTGGGGTGTGGGCTTAAATGATTTATTCTGCTTTAGATTTCATTAGCATCGCTACATACCCATATGAGATGCTGAACTGCATGAAGGGGGACGTATTCTCTTGCTGTACTGTTTGGGAAGTGGTGAAAAATCATTGTGGAACATGTCATGTGAATGTTTAGTATTGCTGAATTTTATTCCTTCACGTGTTCTAAGGAATTTGCATTTCTTAATGAATCCAGGCCACAGCAGCTTAATATTTGCCTCTTCTTCATCCTTCTTGTGGCCTAGATTCAAGAGAGTAATGAGTGACATGTAATTGTCAGCATCAGGAAATCAAATACAGCAATTGCTTATATTGAGGGAGTTTATTACATCGATTCTGCTCCACGTATGAAATATTTGAACTGCTGCTTTTTACCTCCTTCTAGGCTTAACAGACACGTAGTTTGTTTGCAGGCTGCAGATGAGTAGTATTGCAAGTACACAAATTCATTTTGCTGCAGAAAAGGAAAAGAAAAACTTGTTACCCCAGGATTTTTCTATTTATTAAGAAAGCAGAAAGCAGCCTCTTGTGGTTTTCTTTATCCATTCCGAGTGCAAACTCACCTCTGCGGATGAGTCAGTTGCTTATAAAACCAGCACAGCATTATCTGCAGTGACAAAAGAAACAGTTTGCAGAGGAATTATTTCCATTTTTGGCATCCATCTCATGATTCTTCCTAAGGTTTATGGTTTTACATCCCCAGCAGGGTACAGTGCCACCTCCCTTTAGGAATAATCAGCATATTCACATGTGTCAAGGCCAGGTTGGACACAGGGGCTTGGAGCAACCTGCTCTAGTGGAAGGTGTCCCTGCCCATGGCAGGGGTTGGAGCTGGAGGAGCTTTAAGGTCCCTTCCAACCCAAACCATTCTATGGTTGTGTGGTCACACAGGAGTAAAACCAAGCGTTCCCATAGGAAGCTGCCTCACTAACTCCATGTCCCCGCATGGGGAGGCACCTACCACATGTTCTAAATTCGTGTCATTGCGCCCGGGTGTGGGGGTGACTCTGAAGGGATGACTCGCAGCGCAGAGACGGTGCCCGGCCTTTCTCACTCCTTTTTGCTGCTCCTCAGAGCAGACATTTTTGCAACTGCACTTTTTCTCTTTAGGAGCTGTTTGCTGCCCTGGTCTCGGATGATGTACCCCTGTTTGGGTGAGGGTTATGCGGGGATGGGCAGCAAACAGGGCAGAATGGCTGATCCGTAAGGCACAAAGACCCAAATTCTGATCTGTGGACAAAGACACTGCTCTGCGTGTCCTGGGCTGATCCCAGCAGCTGTCCAGGAAAGGTTTAGCTGCATTGGGAGGGACTTAGAGCCATAAAGTCAGGTTCCATCCATGTCTACACGCCAGCCTCCAGCTCTGGACCCAAACTGGAGCGTTGTGCTATCCAGGAGAGCCAGCTAAAGAAGTGGTTTGTGAGTTTTTTTTAATATAAGATGAAGCAGCCAGAACAACAGTGGGGAGGAACAGACTCTTTTCTCTCTGCAGATTGCCATTAATCAGAGCTGAGTGAGCAGTTAACTGAATAAGCACTTCCCAGTGCAAAGTGCTGTCGGTGGTAGTGCAGTGCTGGCATCTTGGAAAGTCTGGCACAAAAAGCCATACCCATGGTACCAAAATCTCCAGTGATGGTAGAGAAAGACAGAGACAAAACAGAAAATCAGGACAGAAAAAGTACGTGTGTTCTAAAAAGTACTGGAAACAGGAGTAAAATAACCAGGGGAAAAAGAAGAAACTTGTATAAAAGGAGAGAAAAGTGGAAAATAATGGCAAAAGTCTCAGTCTCATTTAGGAAACTTTCAATGTGTGTTATGTCCATTCATAGCCAGGACAGCATTTAGTTACTGGTTAATATCATACAGATGATACCCTGTTACCTTAGAACACCACCATCCACAGTCTAGAGAGAGGTCACAGCACACACAGGATACACAGGGCATATACATGAGGTGAGAGTAGTCCCAAGGTCAGTATTGCCATTAAGGAATGTTTTCTAAAGAAACTATAAGCATATAATTTATCTTGGTGGCAAATACTTAATTAAAAGGTTTTTGATAGCTGAATGACCAGTAACAAAGTTCTGACTCGGATATTAGTGGCAGACTGCACATTTAAATAAGGAACTTTGCCAACGTTTGCTTCTCTGAAATAATGAGTTACATTCAATTAAGTTTCTCTTCTCTCTCATCATTCATTATTCTCATTATTTCCCTTATATATCTTTCAAGATCTTCTGCTTGCAGAGTCCCTCAGCAATATGATTACTTGCTAATGAAATACTGTCAGAATTTAGGAGGATGCTGCTTTAGCACTAGTGTGTTGCAGTTTAACCGGGTTGGTTACTGAAATAACTATGAAGAGAGTGTTTTCTGCCCTGGTGTGCCCAGTGACTAAAGGCTGCCCTACCGTTTCTGCAACAGACCCCATCGCAGCAGAGCAGCATTCTGGACAACGGGCAGGAGGAGGTGTCCGTGAGCAGCCAGTGGAACCCCTACCCGCTGGGCCGGCGGGACGTGCCCCCGGACACCGTCACGAAGAAGGTAAGCACACGAGCAGCCCCCGACCAGCTCCGCTGGTCTTCCTCTCCCCGCACACCACGGGCAGGAGGAGGACAGGTTAATGAGGAAATGCATATTTTTGTTTCCAAGCTTGAAGCAATAATCATGGTGATTCAGCTCGCTTGTTTTCTGGCCACGTGTGTTCTCTAACGTCATGAGAAGTCACCCGAAACCATTATCCACAGGACAACATGTGGAGACCTGATATATCTCTACAACTGCCTGACAGGAGGATGGAGCCAGGAGGGGGCTGGTCTCTGCTCCCAAGGAACAAGGGATGGGACAAGAGGAACCGGCCTCAAGCTGCCCCAGGGCAGGTTTAGCTGGAGCTGAGGAACAATTCCTTGCCCAGAGGGTGCTCAGGCATTGGAACAGGCTGCCCAGGGCAGGGCTGGAGGCACCGTCCCTGCAAGTGTTCACAGCCCGGGTAGCCGAGGCCTCAGTGCCAGGGGTCAGTGGTGGCCTTGGCAGGGCTGGGAATGGTTGGACTGGATGAGCTGAAAGGGCTTTTCCAACCTGGTTGATTCCATGATTCTGTGATTTAAGGATGGTGTCTTCATGCCTGCTCCCTGTTTTGGTATTTATTCGTGCAGACGCTGGTAATTACATCTCTATCTGTGAAATGGGCACGTGGGTTTGGCAGGTGTGTTCCTGCACATGTCAGAGAGCCATCAGCTCCCTCTTGGCCTGCAGAGTCTTCACTCAGATGTTCCATTTCAATTACGTTCTCCAGTTCATGCCACAAAATGAATGTGTTGAGATGGAGGCCAGCCCAGTGCCTGGGCACAGCCATTTTCACCAGGACATCCTGGGCACACATCATTTGCTGATAAACTGACTAGAAAGGGGCCTAACTTCAAGTGCTTGCTGGTGGTAGATACTAAATTCCAGTGCTTGGATCTGGCCTGCTTCCAGGAAGACACTGGCTGCTCTCTCCCAGCCCCAGCTTGGCTCTGCCATTTCAAGATGCTCTGATTGTAAAGCTGGGGAATGGAGGATCTTGACAAACTGAACTGTGTTCTCCATCAGCTTTACAAGGTGCAACTGCGTGTGTGAGCAATTGATTACATTGGTCATTATCTACATGGAGACTGGTCCCGCTCGTTCCCCAAGAGTCTTAGGAGTGAACGAAACTAGTGTGAAAGGCACAAGGTGCACACGAATAACTTCTGTGGTGTAATTAACTGTCAGCACTGAGGAGGCAAATACCTCCCTACTGGCTTCACATCTTTGTATCCAAGACCATTTCAGAAGCAGCAACCCTTGCCTTCACACAGAAGTTGTGACAAGAGGTGGACAAGATCATTGCTTGAAGATCGGAGAAAGACATTGAATCTGGAGCAGCCCTGAGATTCCTTCCCAGGCACGGGACAGGGACAAGGAGGAGGAAGAGGGCACCTGATATTGGTGGAGCTGCCCCTGGCAACCAGGTTATTCAAAGGGTTTCTTTATTTTCTGATAGCAAGAAATTAGGGTAAGAAATGTAAGAGGAGTCACTGCTTATCTTCACTGGCATCTTGGGATGAACTCTGCCTTTATCCACTCACACAGTCTGGCTCAGTCTGTATCTTCCTTTGTGCACCATTGGTGTTCTGTGATAATAAACTGCAGGTTCTGTTTCATTCTGCGTATTTCAGTATCTCGCTGCTCAGATGTGGTAAGTACAAACCTTGCACAATGGTACCGAAATCTGCTTAACTCAGTGGAGTAATCCGTTGTTCCATCCCTTGTCAGCTACTTTAACTACACTGTAAATATTGGACACTGAGCTGAAAATAATTAACTTCTGTGGTGGATGTTAAGGAATACAGATGAATTTGGGGAAGCAGCCTGCATAACAGATGCATTTCTGCAGAATAACTAATCCCCGTTTCCAAGAGAGGTGGCTTATCCACCTCCAGCAAGAGCCACAGTGTGAATGCACGAGAAGTAGTGATGGGATCTCTTCAAAGTCTGTTAACAGGAGGGAGAAATGAATTCTGAGTGTTGCTCACAACAGTATTTTTGCTTCCTGGAAGACGAGTTTATCTGTCATACCAACAGGACAGAAGCCAGGTACGTGCCTGGTTAAATCTTCTACTTGGAAATCACTCCTTGTGTAAAAAGGGATGTTGGAGAGTGAGACCACGGGTGGCAAATGAGCAGACACCAGAGCAGCAGCCTGGCCGCGGGTGCCGGCGCGCCAGGAGGAGCAGAGCAGCTACGGGGATGGGCAGCACAGGACTCTTCGCTGGGGCAGCAGGTTGCAGCAGCCCATGTGAAGGCTGAAGCAGTGCGAACTCCTGAAGATCCCGGCACGGGCTGCGGGGGTCTCAGTGGGTGCAGAAGGAGCCTGGGCAATGGAACTGGAGCAAGGCGCTGCCTTGGAACTGGGATGTACAGGAGTGACCAAGTCACCATTTCTCTCCCTTCCTGACCTGGGAGTGTTTCTCTTAGCCATGAACGAGAGGCTGGAGGCTCTTTCCCATTCATTTCCAGCATCTGCTCTTCAATACAGAGGTCTTTGAAGCTGCTTAAGGAGATCTGAGGTTTTTCAGTGAAGAAGCACAGTTTTTCTTGTATTTGAACTGGACGTTTTCCTCTGAGGCACCACTGCGTGTTCTCTGTTTTCTGAGAGTATCAAAAGGCCAAGCCAATGTAAATCACCACTTCACTTAAACTTACAAAGTACTGGGGCTTCCTATCGGTAGATACCATAGAAATCTGATGACTTGATTAGTTAGGTATTTTAAAAGCCTCATTTGTTCCTAGGAGCAGGCAGGGGATGTAACTGGTTACACCTTCTGTACACAGTGCACAGTGCTGGCACAATGCTCTATTTGCGTTATCAATCTGATTCGAAACTATCCTCGGGGAGAATATCCCATCCCAGTCTCTTCAGAGTGTGCTGTGATGGATAATCCAGCCTACATCAATCTATTAAATGTTTTCAGTTCACAAAACATCCTGAGCAGGAGCATATATCGTGCCAGGAGTTCAAAGCAGTGTTTTCTGTTTCTAAAGCGTCCTGTACATGGCTAATTTCCCTTAAACCCCCAGGGGCACTAAATGCAACAGGCATGTCCTTGCTGCTTTTAATCACGGTGGTTTCCAACCGTGGTCAAAAGGCAAACCTCTGAGAGGATTTAAGAGGTTTGCTTTTACTTGACTCTGTAAGTTGTAATAATTGCTTCTTTTCAGCTTCCTGAATTTCTGGCCTAACGGGTTACGTTACCCACAGGCAGGTAGCCATATCCAGACTCTCATGGGATCCCAAAGCCTTCAGCACCGGAGCCGCGAGCAGCAGTACGAAGGGAACATGAACAAAGTCACCATCCAGCAGTTCCAGCCACCGCTGCCCATCCAGATTCCCTCCTCGCAGAGCTCTCGGGCACCTCAGACGGGGCGATGCTTAATCCAAACCAAGGGCCAGAGAAGCACAGAGGCGTACCAGGAGCAGGTGAGGGAGCGCGTCTGCAAAGTTATGCTTTGACAATGCTTTTTGGGGGGTTTCTGCCCTGTGGGCAGCAGGAACAGGGAGCTCGGGGCAATAACGAGGGTGGCATCAGGGGGTGGGTGAGCTGGAGGTGGGTGAGCAGCTCTGTCCTCTTCCCCAGCGTTTTCTTGCTGGATTGACCAGGCAACACAACGTGGCACTGAAGTTCCTGCTCAGAGCTGACATCATGGGTCACGCTGAGTTAACTTGCAATCTCTGATGGTTCCCCGGTGGCTCAGTTGAGTGCTGATAGTGCAGCCTGTTTGGCAAGACACTGATCTCAGGTCTGTGTTGGCTGCGTAGGCTTGGCCCTAGGACAGCCCAGCTGTAGCGCCAGTGCCCCCAGTCAACACCATGTGTGCTGCTGAGCTCCTTCATCAAGTGGTCCTGTGCCCATTTTATTTGTCCTTAACGCTTGCAGTAACTGTTGGAGGCACCACACTGGCAGAACACGGTGCAGAATCATCAGTAAAGCTTTCTCTGGAGTAAAGTGTTGGTCAATCACGTCGGAGCTCCCTGTATTAAGTATTGCTCTGGGTTTCCAAAGCAATTGCTTGTGTGGCTCGAGTACGTGCTCAGGGTGGCTCCATGAGTAGTCATAAAAAGCTACACTGAAGTAATTTGTATTTTATATTCAATTGCCCCATGCCATTAGAGTCTTCCTGACTAAACGATGCGATTCAGCACTATTCCCTGGAGCAAGGCGCTTGGAAAGGTTGGTGCTTAGTGCAGGCTGTGGCCCTGAGCTTCAAAGTACTAATCCCTTGGGTTTGTCCCAGGTGTAGCACTGGGGATGCTGCACATGTGATGATTCACTTAAATGTCCCTGATGTTTAAGTGAATCATTTGGCCACTGTGAACTCTTCTCACAAAACTAAAGGGTTTTTTAATCTTGAAAATGAAGTTTTGCAAGATATCCGAAAACACATGCAGCGTCTGAACGTGGTGCCCCTGCAGCACGCTGAAACCATGCAGATACATTCAGTTTATGAGGACATTCTGCTGAGTTTCACTGCATTGTGCAGCGCAGCTTCTGAGAGAGTCAACTCATCGCATCAGTGGTGAGATTAATGGTCAAGGCCAGCTTGGACACAGGGGCTTGGAGCAACCTGCTCTAGTGGAAGGTGTCCCTGCCCGGGGCAGGGGTTGGAGCTGGAGGAGCTTTAAGCTCCCTTCAACCCAAACCAGGCTGGGGTTCTATGGATATATGTGAAGAAGATGCTGTTGCTTGGGTAGGTTGGAATGTTGGCATTGACTTACCTTGCCATGTCTTTTTAACCTAGTTTTGTGTGAGGATAGAGAAGAATCCTGGCCTTGGGTTTAGTATCAGCGGTGGAATAAGCGGACAAGGAAATCCATTCAAACCTTCTGATAAGGTAAGTTACACATTTCTCTCTAAACAGTCCTTACTTTAGAGTCTCACATAGTGGAGACAGACATAACATGAGGGAAATTTTTATGCACTTCTGTTTTGATAATTGAAAGAATTTTCTCCATAGTTGACTTTTTCTGTTGTTAGGGGAGTATTTGCTTTTTCCCTTGTTATTGGAGATGAGAGAATCAAAGCAGAAATCATGTGGGTGTCTATAAATATGCAACTACTGGAGATTATCAGCCACACAGGGCTTTAGGATTAGGAAATGGACTCTGAGAACTGTGAATTTATCTCTTCTGAGAGGTAAAACTGACTGGAGTCTGTGGAAAAACAAGTGTGAGGGTACCTCTCTGTCGAACATAGAGTTCATAGTCTCTGGCAATACTGGATTCGGTGTGAAGAGGCTGTCACAGCTTCCATAAACACTGAGAATATGTGGCAAGGGATGACTTTAAAACTGGCTTTTCATCTCTTCAAAAATTTGAGATCTGCCTGCAAATTGCAAAACTCATTTTCCCACCACTCTGCATTGCACGAACAAGTGAACTGGAAATGTAAAATACCCCTGGAAATACCAGGCTGCCACAACCTTAACTCCTTCAGTATTGTCACTGATAAATCCCTTGTTTGACATTCCAGAATAGCTGCATTTAACCTACATAACTATTGGCTATTTTAACAGTTCTCCCTTAAAACACTCGCTTTTGTGTCCTCCTTGGAGGCTGCAAACTAGAATTAACACTTTATAACCTCACTGTCTCTTTACTGCACGATGTTTGGGTCAAGCTGTGCTTCCACTGTCCTTCATTTGCCTGAAATGACTAAAGCAGACTCTGAGTGCCCCTGCGAGTGTGCCTGCACCAGGAACACGCTCAGTGCAGCAGCACCTGCAGATGGGCTTCGTTTTACCCGTGACAGAAACGCAGAGCTGTGCACTAAGGGACGGGTGGTTATGGTGAAGGAACTACTAATTAAAAGGGGGTTTATGTGGTGTTACTCTGAAACACTGCAGCAGGGAGAGCACAGCAGAGAGGGACACTGAGGAGGGTGCACAAGTGCAGGACTGCCTGAGCTGGCGGGGGGTAACTTCAAATGTGTCCAACATCGAGGAGCTCAAACTTGGATTTGGAGTTTTATTAACTTATTTTACTGAAATGCTGAAAGCTAACCTAGAACTATCCTTTATCACGTCATAATTTTACCCCATTCAAAGTCATTCATGGCTCCGACCTTGGACTCACAGTCCTGCAGAGCATTGTACTGAATATCTCAAGGGCTGAATATCAGACTGCATTTTAGAAAATGTTTTAAACTTCTTACAGTAAATTAAGCAAATATTACTGTGGAGATTATGGTAGACATCATTCTAATAATTAATGCTTGCTCCATTTTTATTATCCTCCTGATAACCCTGTTACTCTTGCCCTGTTCATGTTGGATATTATTTTGTGATGTGGAATCTTAGTTTTAAATGATAGAACCATAGGATGGTTTGCGTTGAAGGGAGCTTAAAGCTCCTCCAGCTCCAACCCCTGCCCCGGGCAGGGACACCTTCCACTAGAGCAGGTTGCTCCAAGCCCCTGTGTCCAACCTGGCCTTGAACACTGCCAGGGATGGGGCAGCCACAGCTTCTCTGGGCACCCTGTGCCAGCGCCTCAGCACCCTCACAGGGAAGAGCTTCTGCCCCAGAGCTCATCTCAATCTCCCCTCTGGCAGGTTCAAGCCATTCCCCTTGTCCTGTCCCTCCATCCCTTGTCCAAAGCCCCTCTCAGGCAATAACTCACTGACGGTCACAAAGAGCTGCTACAAACCCATCCTAGTGTTTGATTACAAACAGATGTAATTAATAGTTTCCTGTTTAGAACACTGACAGAGTATATAAAGCCCCAGACAGCAGTTAGGGAGACACCTGTATTTTGGGAAGTAGTTCTTGGTGATAGCATCCTAACCTCTGTTACTTCTGACTTATAGGGTATCTTTGTTACTAGGGTTCAGCCTGACGGACCAGCATCCAGCCTGCTCCAGCCTGGCGACAAGATCCTCCAGGTAGGGGTGGATTTAAGTCAAGCTTTGCCACTGAACTCAGTCTTTGCATCTTACAAGTACAATGACATGGCTGTCAGGACAAGTTAACTGCTGGGTTTGTTATCATGGAACTTTAATGCTGATTTATAAGAGTGTTACTCACAGTGCTTTTGAAAGCTGCTCTCAGAAGGAAGGAATAAAGCTGTTTGAAAGCAAACCGAGGGTGTGAAGAAGAGGCACAGCACTGATCCAGGTGACATGATTTAGAAGGTGCAGGCAGAGAAGAGCTTCATGGGCACTGTTACAAGCAGGAGTCCCTGACAGACTCCTCCAGTTTTCACCTTTGCACTGGAGAGCTCTATAGTCACGCTTTGACTATATTGTCAATTGACTGTATTGGCAATAAATTGACTATTTTTGACAGAATAATAACTGGCAATATTTCTGCCTCTCTTTTGCTGCCTCAGCATTTGTGAACGCACTTGCAGGAAAAGGATCCACTGCTGGATCGTGGAAGCTGCTGTGGGATTTGTAGAGAAATCTCCACTTTTTGTTCTATTTTTTGTTTCTGTAACAAATGTTTCCTGTATCCTGGTGAATTTTTAGAATAGAAAGACAGGCTATTCCTGCTCATCCCTTCCAAAACTCCTCATTCACAGAAATTAATGGCTGGCTGTGTAGAAACATCTTCAGTAGCCTCTCTCCCTCCTCCTGCCCCTCTCCTTCCTTTGCTCCTTCCTACCCAGCACAGGCACTGCAGGAGTGACCAGCTCTGAGCTCATTTAATTGCTAGGATGCTCAAAAATGGTGAGATAGAGAAAATAACAAAGCTAAATGAGGTACCAAATTAGCTAAAGATGGTGCTATATTGAAAGCTGAGCTTAGAAGCAGAAGCAAAAATACGCTAAAAGAGATTAAAAAGCAACAGCCACGTAAGGTGAGAGGGTGAGTTCTGATGGACACGGACCATCAGGAGCTGGGATGTCTCATGCCTCAGCATGTGTTCCTAAACCAGGAGCATTTACATATGCTTATTTAAGGTCTGCTGCATGTTTTGGGGGGAGCAGATCTCACTCTCCTGATTTATTCATCCCTTACACTGATGAAGTTTGACTTTGCACTCTCAGGCCCTCTCAGCAGCTCACGGCTCAGTCTCAGCTCCTCATTCATCACTGTCATTCCAGACTCTCTGGCAAGAGCATTTTCCTTTTATTTGCAATTACTTCTGCCCATGCATAATACCTATTACCAGCTGTTGATTTATACTGGGGCAAGTAAAAGAGCCATTAATCTTATGGAGGAATTAACAGACAAAAGCCGTAACTGTGATGAAGATATTTTACTTCTCAAATCCAAGCAACGCCTTTAGGTGTGAACCTATCCCATTCCCTGGGCAATAAGAGCTTGAAATCATTAATACTCAGTGGCATCTCTGCACCCCAATTTTCCACTATTGCCATCGCTTCTGTTTGGTTTTGTCTCATGAGACCATCCCTGCCAGAGACCAGGGCTCTGTGTTACCAGCCCTGGCGGAGGAGGAGGAGGTCCCCGTTTCTGCTGGGACTCAGAGAACCAAGGTTCATCTTCTTGTGTTTCCTCACCCTTGGCCCCCATCCTCACACGGTCTGCCCTGTGATCTGCTTCTCCTATCATCCAGGTCTTCATCCTATGGACTCTCCCCCCAGTGTGTCTGTCTGATCCTTTCCCACCACATTCCTGGCCGGTGCCTGTGTGTGTCTCCATGGCTGGTATCCCCGACGTCGCGGTCACTGGAGCACGGCCATGGCTGTGCCCTTTTTGTGCTCCCACACAGTGAGTTCCGTTTACTCAAGGTGTAGGTGACACATGGACAGGTATTACCAGCCCAGGGCTGCACGGGCCCTGCTTCGCAGGATGTTTTCGGGAGGAGCACTGATGTTTCTCTCGTGCAGTTACGTGTCTCCCCGCGCAGTTTCGGTAGAAGAGGGAAGGAAGATTTAAAAAGTAAAAGGTTTGGTGTTCCCTGGGTGCACTTACCCATGAGAAACCATCATCCTTAAACACAGTTTTGCCCAGTGCCTGTTTTTGAGACACAAACATGTGTGTGTCTTCTGCACGGAGCACGTTCTGGTCAGTGCAAGTCCAGAAACTCACGGCTCCACCAGGGTCCTGGGGGAGCAAAATTGTCGTGTCTTCCCCTCCTGTGTCATAAACTCTTCAGTTATTTATTTGATAAGTAAGAATGATTTTGCTGCTATAGAATTAGCAGCCGTTTCAGTAGATGGCTTTCAAGGAGGGACAGAGTTGTCTGTGTCTGTCAGTGAGGAGAGAGCAGCTCTGCCAGCCACGTTGTACAATTCTGCCACCGTATGTTCAAGGCTGCCCTTCAGTTCTCAGAAGTCTTGTTATGGTGGCTCCATGTCCAGCTAAACCCTGTTCTTCCTGTGTAATAATTAGATCCAAATAATCCCAGCCTGGTCTGTGTTGGGAGGGAGCTTAAAGCTCCTCCAGCTCCAACCCCTGCCACGGGCAAGGACACCTTCCACTAGAGCAGGTTGCTCCAAGCCCCTGTGTCCAACCTGGCCTTGAGCACTGCCAGGGATGGGACAACTCAATGTGTAACGATGGATGGGGATTTCATAGTATATTTTGTGGGGAAGGCGAGACTCCAGCAGGGATGATCGATTCAACAGGAATTATCGATTCCGATTATCATTTCTTTATCTGTTAAATCTCAAATCCCTCCGGCCGTGGCCCCCGTGGTGTCAGTGGACATCTGCCTCCTGCAGCCCACTTCCTCCAGAAGCTTTCCTTGTGGAAATGAGGTTTCTCCATTAGCTAGAGCTGAGCTTGCACAAGGTTCTCCCGCCCCCCTCACTGTGCAGCTTGACGAGGAGACGGGACAAGGGCAGAGGTGCCCGGCCCTCAGGCTGCCTGCAGCTTCCCTGGTGTCTGCTGCTGTGCCCGGGTGAGCGGTGCAGACCCGGTGAGCTGTGTGCTGACCACTGGAACTTCAGTGTCCTTCCGAACGACACCAGAGCCCCGGCTGACCTGCAGCTGAATGCCAGTGACTGCCTGGTGTGGGCACATAAGTGAATGCCTGGAATCTGTATTCCTATTTCTGGGAGCAAATATACTTTAACCTTTAATGCAGTGAGAGGCCACGGGGCATCCTTGCTGCAGCCCCTGGGCCAGGGGAAGGATCTTGGCTCCAGGGGGGCTCTGCCAGCTACTTTGTGCTGCTTGTCCCAGTGGTGGGCTGGGGGGCTTGGGAAGTGTCTTCCATGGGTGTAGTACAGTTAATGTGCTGGCCAAGATACCCACGTGTGGATGGATGTGTGAAACAAGTGTCTGGCAGTTCTTCTGCGAGGCTGCAGGTTTTGTAATAGTTGAAGGTTTCTGCTGGTGTCTTTGGGGAGGGAATCAGCGCAGAAGCAGAACAGTCCAGCCAGTGCTTTCTCCCCTCTGTACATGCAGCGTGTCTGAGCTGGAACCTGCCTTTGCACTCAGCAACACATTCAGGCAGCATTAACCTCCTTTGGGCTTTGCAGTGTTCGAACCTCTCACATCCAGGGTCATTGCTCCTTCAGAAAATACGTGGGATGTCGAAGAGTCACCAAGGAATTCAAGTTGGGAAGGACCCCTGAGGGCGTGCAGCGTCCAGGGCAGGATGAGAGATGTGTTCTCTTGGGGGCAACCCCTGTGTGCAGGAAACCATCATGTGATTATTAGTTGTTTTATGATATGATTACTATTTATTGTAACCTTGATTTTAATTTCCATATATAGAATCCCAGCCTGGTTTGGGTTGGAAGGGACCTTAAAGCTCCTCCAGCTCCAACCCCTGCCACGGGCAGGGACACCTTCCACTAGAGCAGGTTGCTCCAAGCCCCTGTGTCCAACCTGGCCTTGAACACTGCCAGGGATGGGGCAGCCACAGCTTCTCTGGGCACCCTGTGCCAGCGCCTCAGCACCCTCACAGGGAAGAGCTTCTGCCTCAGATCCAACCTGAACTTATCCCTTTGCTCCCCCCGGATGACGATGCTGAGTAGAACCTCCTTTGACTTCTCCTCTCCTTGTCTTTGTCTTGCAGGCAAACGGACACAGTTTTGTACATATGGAACACGAGAAGGCTGTGTTGCTCCTGAAGAGTTTCCAGAACACAGTAGACCTAGTTATTCAACGTGAGCTTACTGTCTAACTATTTTTTTATCAATAGTAAATATGTCTAGCCAGATCTAATGTTCAAACAGATTTATACATAGGAAACAAATTTTTTTGCCAATTGCTGGACCAATGGCAAACAGTAGTGCCAAATGTATAATACTCTATGTTAGTACCAATCATCTTGAAAAAATATATTAACTATATAAATATATTGTTCATGTGGCTACGTATTAGTTTTACTTGTCAGCCTCTGGCTGTGCATTGGTGCGTTTTTTTAATCCAGTTACTTCTTAAAGTCAATTTCATATGATTTCAAAACACAGAAGCACATACAAATTCTTTAGGAATTCTGCTGTCCATCAGAAACACTGCCTCAAAGTTGTATATGCCTTTATAAAGATAAAATATATTAACCTGTACTTCCCATGAAATATTTCTATCATGTCACATACAAAAATAGAGAGAAAAAATATTTTCATAAACACCTCAAAGAAAGTATATATTAAATTAAATTTACTAATGTTCATTTATTTTCAATGCAAAGATATTATATGCCTTATGAAAATACCTGTACATATGCAGTGTGTATAGCTGGCTCCATATGAATTAGTAAAAATGTCACTATACAGGGTGAGATACTGAATAAATTACACTCGACTCTGGGACCTACACAAAGAACTGAGATGAAATTGGTTAACTTCTGTCGTTTGGCACTTTTAGTTGATCCCATGGGAACACAGTCAGTGGACGAGCCGTGAGGTCAGGCAGGTATGGTCAGAAATGGAAGGTTGTGAGGAGAACATGGTAGGGGGGGGAGCCGTGAGGTCAGGCAGGTATGGTCAGAAATGGAAGGTTGTGATGGGTGGCAGTAAAACACCTTTTGTTGCTGCTGATTTCATTATTTAAGGTTTTAATTCAAGGACAGGCCCTTTAGTTCCATTCCCTGTGCCCCCCCAGCCTCCCCCTGTTCTGTGTGTTCTCGCTGCTCCAGCCGTGCTCGCCCCGGTCGCTGTGCTGCTGTCAGGGCGGCTTTAACTTCCCTATGTTCCTTCAGCCGGGAACCGTGGCTCAGGGGGAGCAGGTTCAGTCCCGGGGGTGATGCTGGCCTGGCCTGGCCTGGGGAAAGCTTCCCAACCCAAGTACGCCGCTGGGAAACCCTTCGGATCCACATCCCAGTGTGTCCCACCAGGGCGTCCCGGCAGCACTGAACTGCTGCTGGCTCAGGCGTCTGTCGTGTCTGTAACCAACAGCAAGATGGGGAAACGTGAGAAGTGTAAGGAACGGGTTTTATGGGATCCAGTCCCACTGACCTGATGGCACCGCTGGCACTGGCCTGCACGGAGAGCCAGAGCACGCTCCAGGAGGGCCAGGCTCCCTCGCACCTTTTCCACCTGGATTAGAAGCTCAAGGCAGAGGAGTGTAGCTATAGCATGAGGGCATGGCCAGAACATTGCACTTTGCAGGAGCCTCTAGAAGTTCTCACCCTTCCTGCCCTCCCACCAGGCACACACTGACTGAGGTAATTCTGTTCAGATTAAACAGGGCCGTGACATGCAGCCCCTGTCTGCTGCTCCCTGGTGTCGCTGCTCCCTGGTGTCGCTGCACCCTGTTGTAGCTGCTCCCTGGTTTCACTACTCCCTGGTGTCACTGCTCCTTGGTGTCGTTGCTCCCTGGTGTCACTGCTCCCTGATGTCGCTGCTCCCTGGTGCCGCTGCTCCCTGGTGTCGCTGCTCCCTGGTGTCCCTGCTCCCTGGTGTCGCTGCACCCTGTTGTAGCTGCTCCCTGGTGTCCCTGCTCCCTGGTGTCGCTGCACCCTGTTGTAGCTGCTCCCTGGTGTCCCTGCTCCCTGGTGTTGCTACACCCTGGTGTCACTGCTCCCTGGTGTCGCTGCACCCTGTTGTAGCTGCTCCCTGGTGTCACTGCTCCCTGGTGCCGCTGCACCCAGGGCAGCCCAGCTGCACACTGGTGCAGTGTGTGGAAGGACCGAGCAGCACAAGGTGCCATCAGCATTCCCAGCAGCCAACGTGTCCCGGCCATCGCTGGAGCACACCCGTACTGGCAGCTCCTGCGCAGGCAAGGTTGGTGTCCCAGGGGTTATGCCCAGCTCCGGGCAAACTGGGTCACCTGGGAGAAGGGAAACCTCCTGCGGGTACTGGGACCTGGCAGTCACTTGGTGATGGAGAGGGTGGTGTTCTGTGACCTCGTGTGCACACGGGGAAGGAGAGGAAGCAGCCCCCACTTCAGAAGTAAATCACAGATTAGTCAGTAAAAGCCGCACCAGGAACCAGCCCCTGGTGCTGTTCGGAAGCACCAGATTTGGGGATTTCTTTTTTTCCCATGGCAGCTGCTGAGGAGCAGAGCCCGTCGGGATGACCTGATCCCTGGGCTCACCTCTGCCATGGGAGCTCTTTATCCACCAGCTGGGAAGCGACACTTCTGCATTTGCACATATGCTCCCCGTGCTGTTTGCATAGAATCACAAATCCCAGCCTGGTTTGTGTTGGGAGGGAGCTTAAAGCTCCTCCAGCTCCAACCCCTGCCCCGGGCCAGGGACACCTTCCACTAGAGCAGGTTGCTCCAAGCCCCTGTGTCCAACCTGGCCTTGAACACTGCCAGGGATGGGGCAGCCACAGCTCCTCCCTCCTTCTCCTCAGTCAACAGGAGTGATTAAATTTACCTGTATAAATATTAATGAAACACAAATTCCAATCCCACCTCATGTGCAAGTGCTCCAAGTGACAGCACCATCACTGCTGGCATTGCTAGACGCCACCAGGTGCCACTGAGCTACAGCCAAAGCTTATCCTAAATTTTCCAGTTTGGAGAAGTGATTTTATGATATTCAGAACACACATTTAAATAATTAATACTTCTCAGTAAATGACATTTTCATGATGCCACCAGCTGGAATTGCTCCCTGGATTCACAGGGCTTGGGGTTGGATTGTTACTTGCTCCATTTTTCAGCTTTCAGTTTCCTGTCACATGGATGTGATTTCCCCACGTGCCATCAGGTCGCACCGGCTCTGGCTGAGCCCATCCAAAATTCCTCTAACTCCCCTGACACTTCCAAGGCCAAAATTTCCATTCCTAAGTCCCCATCACCCTTGAAAAAAACTAAGGGTTTATTCAACATCATGTTCAGGAAACCACAGACACCTACATAGCTTGTGGGTAATTATGCTGAATGGGAATTAGGTCCCTACAGGGATCTTTCTGCACCTACATCCCTCTGTGGGAGCTGCCTTTGGCTTTTCATGTGGAAAATCACTCTTGTGACCGTGCCCCCCCTCCCCCAGCCACTTGTTGGTGCCACTTTGTGCCCTGCTGTTTGCCCGCCCGCCCAGTTCATCGCACCCAAGGCACGGTGGCAGCGCCGGGCAGGCTGTGTGTGGGTCTGTGTTTCAGGACTGCCAAGTGCTTTCCTAAATGGGTTATAATGAAACACGGTGGAGCCAGGTTAATGCAGTGGAATGTCATGTTCCAGTCCCTAACTTGGCCAAGCCTCCCACCAGCCCACGAGAGGGGCTGGGGGACATTTGGACTCTCAAACATACAGTAGAGAAGCTTTAACACCAACCCCACTGCCCCAAAATACCAAATATATTCTTTTTGGCATTAGTTCTATTGAGATGGGTGGAAATGTTTAGCTAGCACTAGTATTGTGAGCAATTAACGTTACTTTAATGGACTACTTAGGAGTTTTCCAACGGTGCTTCAAAATACACCCTGCACCTCTTGTCTTCCCTGGCAGGTCTCCTGTAACCTCCCAGACACGATCACCTGCAGCCCGGTTTACAGGTCAGGTACCAGGTTACGTGTGTGCTTTGCACATAATGATGATATTTCATGTTATTTTATTTACTAGATATGATTATATGGCAAGTGTGGAGGCAGGGACAGTCCCCCCGCGGTGAGTTCCACGTGTGGGTTCACTTCTGTGCGTGTGAATGGATTCAGACCCAGGCAAGCACGGCCACCAGAGGCAGATGCTTTCCCTGCTTTGTGCTTTTTAGATTTTTCCATGCAATAAACACTTATTTAACTGACGATCCTCAGGGAAGGGCTAAGCTTAAAGAAGGAAGCCTGCAAGGTTATTCCCATATCCTCATTTTACAACAGGTTTTAAGGAGCTCCGGTTCCTCCCCATAACACACAATGGGGCCTCATGCAGGGGCCCAAAGCCCAGCAGAGACTGGCAGGGAAGTCTTAGCTTTTCTCCTAAGGGGAAAGAAGAAAGAGGAAAAGGAAAAAAAGCTGCTTCCGAAACACTTATTTTGAGACAAAAGGGAAGCTCAGACCATGGGAAGCCCACAGGACTCTCCAGTCTTAATAACTTACCTGTTTTCCCATTCCCAGCTTGCAGTTTTTACCCAGGTGTTGATGAAGTGTCGTATTTAGAAGCCAGTTGTTCGTAATAGTGATCATTTAACATCTTCAAATCGGTTTTGATGTTTTCTAAGGTATTTTTTAGCACATCCATCTCTGTATCTGTGTTTCACGGCACTACGCCAGCTCCCGAGGTGAGGACAGGCTCTGCCAGCCAGGAACACGGTGCCCAGCAGCGTCCTGGTGCAGGTACCTGGTGGAGGGAGGACAAAGCTAAGGTGCAGGGGACACTGAGAGCAAAGCTGATGGCCATGTTCCTGACCCTGGGCACACAGTGCACCCAGGACAGCAATTGGCCATTCCAGGGATGCGCTGGGGATGCTCAGCCCGGAAGTTTTTCCAGGGTGGTCTTTATCTGAGCAGGAATGTCAAGCCCTGAGCACCTGAAAAGTGCAGTCACTGATGTTACAGACCACCCCTCATGTGCAGGAGCCAAAAATCCAACTGAAATTAGTATGAAATGTTCAGGAGATTGGTTTGCTGTTGCTAGTCAGCACTTGGAATGTAAAGTCTTTCCTTGGTTAAAGCTCTCTGGCTTGTAATATAGCACTTAGTTACCTTGAGCAATTCAAAAGCACTTATTTATAGCTATGGGTGTATATATGTATATATCTGATGGAGATATATGCAACAGTAAATGCAAAGTCAGTGTTAAATGGAATCCCAGACGTTTCAGCCTGCTCAGGAGCAGGCTCTGCTCTCCAGAGGAGCAGGGTCGGTGCCTGGACAAGGGGCTGTTGGGGATATTTATCGGGGGGGACTGACCTCTAATGGAGCAGGGTCGGAGCCAGGCTCCTGCAGGCTGGGCTGATGTGGGGCTGTGTTCCTCCGCAGC